ATGCAGGACAGGGGGGCGGTGAGGACCAGGGTTGAGAAACACTGGTCTAAGCGGACGTTATTAGTTAACTGACTGGAACTAGCTTTAATCTACTTGACCATTAAGTGTTTTGTAAACCCATTCATGACACATGAACCAGGTCTTTGTGTTTGCAGCCATGCCGTTTGCTTTCTGCACCCGGGAGAAAGAACCGTGGACGGAGTTTGCAGAGTCTGCAGAGGAAGGGAACACCACGCGGTTCTGCCAGGAGGTGAGATAATCCAACATTGCTGGTGCTATAGTAATATGACGCACAACCCTGGCTGCTCTTTCTCATCCTGCCCACTAGCTGGCCAAAAAATACAACATGGTGGTTATCTCCCCAATTCTTGAGCGAGAGGAGCTGCACAGCACTCTGTGGAACACAGCGGTGGTGATCTCCAACTCAGGAAGCGTGCTGGGGAAGAGTCGGAAGAACCACATTCCCAGGGTCGGAGACTTTAATGAGGTTAGCAGCAGCAGCCACACCATGAGCTGCTCTGCAGCTGTGGAGCGCAGCAGAACACTGAGTTTTGCTCCTCACCCTTAGTCCACGTACTACATGGAGGGCGACACGGGCCACACGGTGTTCCAGACGCAGTTCGGGAAGCTCGCTGTGAACATCTGCTACGGGCGTCACCACCCGCTCAACTGGTTCATGTACAGCATGAACGGAGCAGAGATCATCTTCAACCCCTCTGCCACCGTTGGAGCTCTCAGGTAGGAAACAGGATGAGAGAGAGAGAAAAAAGGAAATTTATAAATAATTATTTGACTACAAGTTTCTACTGCTCTGAGTTATTCTTCCAAGCATCTATTTTAGCCTTCCCACATGTTTTGATGTCAATGATGATGAACTGTTTAATTTGAACATGTGAAAAAACAAATGTCATAGAAAAATGATAACTTAATAACAAATACAAATTTTCATTGAGGTTAGGTCTCAAACTAGTTGATTCTCTTTAGAGTAACCTCTCACTTTTTAGTGGGATGGTAAGTTGTTTCTCCGTCATTAGCACATTGAGTAGACAATGTAGACTGACAGCATTAAGACCCGCCTCTTGGCTCTGATTGGTTGTTGTTGCGGCGTCTCTTCAGATGGCAGTAGCAGCTCAGGCAGGAGGTGGACCAGCTTGATTTTGTTCCACATACTGTCTGTCTAATATTATGACATGCATAGAGATATTTTTTTAACATTTTATAGATATATATATATATCAGTTGTGTAGTGCAGCTTTAATGACATTTGCAAGCTGAGTTTGTCCGTTATTGTTGCCACTGATTGCCTCTGTTTGTGTACGGAAAGCTGTGCTTGTCCTCCACAGTGAGCCCATGTGGCCGATCGAGGCCAGGAACGCAGCGATAGCCAATCAATTCTTTGCGTGTGCCATCAACCGTGTTGGGACGGTGAGTTTCTGCAACATCAGCTGATGTCGAGTCAGCAGAACAGATTTAATCATTTAGGAAAATATGTTTTCAACAGGAACACTTCAAAAGTGAATTCACATCTGGGGATGGAAAGAAAGGTATGTAGTTTGAATTTATAATGTTTTTGTGTTTTTTCATAACATTTCAGCAACATGAAGTAGTTATAGCAGCTACCTTGAATGTTTGTTGTAACCTTATAGCAGGAAGCTGAAACTTTATCACAAGTCTAGCCAAAGTATTTATATCCCTTTAACCTTTTCACATTTTGTTTTATTCCACTCCGCAACTTTAGTATAATTTAGTTGAATTTATCTCACAAACCAACCCAAAGCACAACCTATCACATAAAAATCCCAATAAAATACAGTGAAGTTTGTGTTTGTAACCTGACAAAATGTGAGAACCCCCCCCACAAAAGAAACGTTTATAAAATGGGAACAACAGCAGCTATTGTGCTTTTTCTTCCAGCTCACCATGACTTTGGTCACTTCTATGGGTCCAGTTATGTGGCTGGTCCTGACGGCAGCCGCACCCCGGGCCTCTCCAGGACCCGTGACGGACTGCTGGTGGTGGAGCTGGATCTGAATCTCAACAGACAAGTCAGCGACAAATGGAGCTTTAAGGTGAACATTCAGCCTCATTCAGAGAGTTGTCGGTTTTTAGTTTAATAATTCAGTGCAGGAAGTGACAAAAAGTGAAAGTCGTATTAAAATGGTCACTCAGATCGATGTATTTCAAAAAAAAAATTTCCTGTTAATTTTTGATGATTATGGCTTGGAGTTAACAAAAACTTAAAATTCAGTTTCTCAATTTGATTACGTCACACTAATAAAATAAACTTTGAATAGAGAGACATCACTTGTAGAAAAACATATTACAGAGCTCTCAGTGGCTGTGTGATCAGGACTTTACCCCGGAGCTGGAACCTGCTGGAAAATGAAATCGGCATCTCAGTTAGGATACGGACTTTAAAGTTTTATAGATATTCTGTGATAGTATTGCGATAACAATAAAAGTGACACAGCAGTCAAAGCCTCACAAATACAAATATGGTTGAAAAACATATAACAATCCAGACAATAAGGACAGGTTTACAGTGTTTTAAACTTCATTTATTGGAATTTATCTAAATCAAAATTTATCACAATAAATAATAAACAATACGATAAATTCAGACCCTGATCGCCACAAAACTGTTCAGAAGAGGAAAGCAAGCAAAAAAAAAAAATCAGCATCTGATTTTTTTTTTTTAAATCAGATGCTGATTTAAAAGAGGTAGAGGTTTGCACCGTCGGTCACGTCAGACCAACCCCAAGAGCTAAAACAGAAGGGAAATTAACTTCTCCTGTTTCACATCTCATCCAAAATCTGATCATAAATAAGAGAAGTCCAGCCTCCTTCCAGGAAACCACTAATGGCTGTAAAGTCCTGGACAAACTTACCTCATAGGCAATCCATGTACATGATGCATTCCAATTTTCTGGAGGTTGTAGTTATGTACCCATTTCTTTCGCACTTCATCCGTCCACCCAACTTTTCAATGATATGCTTGGTTGCTGCACTCAACAGGGAGTTTTTTGGATTTTTTTAATTTTTTTTTTAGCAGTGATGTTTTGTAATTTTCCCATCTTGTAAAGATTGTAATTAACCGTCAGCAGCTTTCAACATAGCTAAAACATGGCTTTAAGATTTTATTAATCAGAATCTTTTGGTGATATTTTAATTTCCTGATCATCCAGGTGTTGGATTTAAATTAGATGAAAGTCATAGTCATCAAAATGAACAATACAGGCTGCAGGAGGCAAGTGGATGAGCCACATATGGAGACTATGAGACATCCGTCTGCCTTTTTCCAGCATAACATATCATTAAAGGTCACTCAGGCTACAAAACAAAGTAAAGAAAAACAAAAGTATCACTAAGAAATTGAGTATATCTGTCTGTAATGAATCTAAATGTCTTTAAATTAAAATAAAAACATTTTAAGACGCCTCCTTAATAAATGGTTATTAGTACAATGCCTGCATTCTTATCTGCACTTCAACTGATTCTGATTCTTGTACTTTATTTTGCAGATGACTGGACGGTATGCAGAGTACGCAGAAAAACTGGGAGAGGCTGTAAGACCTGACTTCAAACCCAAAATAATAAAGGAGTAGAACGCATTTCCTCAGGACCCTCTATGAACAAGTGACTGTTCAGTAAAAATCTGCTTGAAGATTTAATGCAGTCACTTCTGATAGCAAGTAAAGGCACCCTGGTCACAACATATGCAAGTGTGTGGTAAATTAACTGAAAGCTGGTAATTAATAAATTAAAGGCTTCACTTAGATTGGACTAAAAAAAACACATCTTTTCATAATTTATCCTCCTTTAGTTAGGCAAAAATCTATTTTTTTTAAAGGGGCAGTATTATGTTTTCCAGGCATATAGTGTCATTTTATATAGTAACTGTGTTACCTTCAGTTGCTATAAAAAATATATGTATAAATATCAAAAGTGACTTAAAAGAAATTTGACTTTGAAATTGAACCTCTGTCTTTTAAAAAGTCCTGCTCTTTCTGAAGCTCCACCTTCAGGAAGTCATTCATCTGTCTTGCCCAGCTGACTGGTTGGTTGCCACGGGAGACCAAAGGATTTCTCAAAAATGCATGAAATAATCAGCAACACTACAGGCATGTTTTTGATGACATAACCATCAAAGAAGTGAATTTTACATAACACCGCCCCTTTAAGATATTTATCATCTCACTTAAGAGACAGCGAATGCAGCATGTGTTGAAATCTTTTAATTACACCTCATAATAAAATGCAGTTCTATGTTTAAAAAAAAATAAAGATTGTGGTCTTAAAACGTGCCGCTTGTTTCCACCAGAGAGCATGAGCAGACGGCGCGGACATTTTGTAGCACTAGAAAAAGATTCGCTTTTAAATAACACAATCGAGTCTGGTATGGAAAAAAAAAAAAGGTAGTGCAAAGATGTATATACATTACCGCAACTTAAAAAAATAAAATAAAACAGAGGCAATGAGGAAAATCACCTAGAGTTAATAGAATCCATCCGACTGATCGACATCGACCCGAGACAAATCGCTTCGACTCGTGTCGTTTCTCCAGTAAAGTTGGTGAACCCGACAAACCTTTGTCTCTGGGTGTCGCGTGGAGTCCGGCAGACGGAACACACTGTGTTGATCCAGCGCTGGTACGCTTCAGAGCGTCGAATACCTGAGACGATCAAAACACCACCACGCTCCGTTTTCCCTGTTCCTACACTCTTGTGGATGAAAAGGGAGCGATGGGGTCTTCCTAAAAGGCAGGTAGAGGCGAGGCTGGAGGGCAGAAGGGCTGAGGGGGTTAAAGGTGAGCAGCTTCACATCAATAACAAACACAACAAGTGGAGTAAATGCACAATACTGTCAGTCATGAAGAGAAGCCCTGAATAATGTGCATGTCAGTCCCTGGTAATTCACATTCGACGCCCCGTTTTCCCCACATAATTCCTCCAAACTCCAAGGAGTTTTAACGGCTCGACTGAACTGCTGAGCGAGAACGGCTGTAGGCGTCAAAATTAAAACGATAAAATTCCACCTGCTCGTATTACACAGCGGAGTAGAAAAATAATCCATCTGAGATGAAGAGGTTTTGGCTTGTGAACATTTACATCCATCAGTGGGGTGAACTGTTGAGGTGTGGAGCATGAGGGAAAAAAAAAAAAGAAAAGCTGGCTGAAGTTCTGCCAGCAGACCAGAGGTGGCGCCGCTAGACCTGGGAGCTGCTGCAGTCAGGCTGATGATGAAGACCCCAGGTCGTTAATATTGTCCTTCAGCTCTGTTTGAAGACGAAGAGGATGTCCTCATCTGTTCCGTAGCTCCGCCTGGCCTCCTCAAAGTTACCGATGCTGGTGCAACACACACCTGGACAACACACATACACACACATGCATGTTTGTCAGGCTATCTTTGTGGGGACTTTCCATTGACTTCCATTCATTCCTCCAGCCTAAACCTTACCCTAACCATTACATACCTAACCCTAATCAAAACCCAGTTGACACCCCAGTCCTCAACCCAACTCCTGACCCAATAACATCATCTCCCCTTGTGGGGACCAGGCTGCGGTCCCCACAAAGAGCAGTGGGTCCCCAAAACCTAATGTGTCAGGAAAATGGTTCCCACACTTATTAAATACATGACACACACACACACACACACACACACACACACACACACACACACACACACACACACAAGGAGGTTAAAAACAATAAGTCTTAGTAGGAGTTGGTGTTAGTTTGAAAAATGGTATGAGGGCTGCAACTAATGATTATTTTAGTAGTCAATTATCATATCAATACATTTTTAAAGTAAAAAAAAAATTGGCCTAAAAAGCAGTAACATTTCTCTAGTGAATGTTTGCTCAGCTCCTTTCTGCTTGACTTACCACTACAGTGTGGAGCTGATCTGTCCTTTCTTTTTTCTATTAACCGAATAATAACTGGGTAGTAAAAGGTCCTTAACAATGAAAATGAGCATTTCTTAAATGCTGCCTGCAGCCTAACGAAAATAAAAAAGACTGATTTTAGAAGTTAAACTGTTCTATACCGTTTCACACAAGGAGGAAGTAGGAAGTCAGTGTTGTGGTCAAGACCACCTAACCCGAGACCGAGACAAGACCAAGACTTTTAGGGTCCGAGACCAAGTCAAGACCAAGACCAGCGCCCCACGCTATATGACACGATAAAATGTGAAATATGATCAAAATTGCTTCTCAAACTGATCTGAAAGATCCGTATTCCCATAAAAACACCTAGATATTAAATACTTAATACATTTTATCAATATTAAAAGCAGAACAAACTCTTTGTTCTGCTTTGCTTCCATCTCTGTGCTACAATCCGCGGTGGTCTGGTGCCATTCCTAAAAAGATAACGCCCTGGGCGTTTGCCCATATTGCTCATGTCAAAAACCACTACTCTATGCACCATTAAACATAGCAAGTGTAACAGAAACACGTTACTGCTTGGATTTTAATCGGTGCGTTTCGCATCCAGTGAAAACAACGATGTTGACAAATAAAGTGGACAGTATGCTGTACGTTTAGTGATATTTTCACAGTTGCGGTCTCGACTGGTCTTGAAATAAAATGCCGAGTCCTCAGCGCCCGAGACCGAGACCATCAATAAATGGTCTCAAGACCAAGACCGATCTCGAGTACTACAACACTGGAGGAAGCAGCAGTTTTTGATAAGTCTTATCAATGTCTGGTGAAAACTAAGCATGAACTGACTGAACTGTGAAACCGCCGTCCCCTGCTGGACGAACTAGGTCACTCACGGTCGTTATACGCCGGGTTGTTGTAGAAGATGCAGCCGGAGGTCCTGTTGAAGCCGCACACGACCACAAAGTGACCCTGGTACTCCGGCTTCCTACAGAAACACTTCTGCCCCACAGGCAGGAAGCAGCAGTATTTGACGGGCGAAGAGCACGACTCGCACGTCAGGACAATGGCGTTGACCAGCACGATGGCCACGTGACCCTGCTCCAGATGAGACTGGATTTCCTGAATGGTTACTGAACTAGAAAAAAGAAAGAAAGAAAAGCAAAACTTGATCTATTGGCAGCACAACTGAGGATGGAGAGAGAAGCTTTAAACTCGACAGAATATGATGATCAACCAGTTAGGTTGAAAATCTGATCTTTTCTAGTTAGAAACGCAGCAGTACTATGTCACAGTAACACTCTTCGGTGTGTGTATGGTTACTGAAGGAAAAAAACAAACTCGTAACTCCTTTTAGAACCAGTGAGGTGTGACATTAAACCTACAGTTTACTTTTTTGTTTAATTGTTTTGAACAATCTAGTTACAGAACACACTGGGATGGGAATTTTCTCACACAGAAGTCCTCATATAAGATGCTACAGAGTTTAAAATATCAGCTCTGTAATTTTAAATTTGTTTTGGAATAACAGTGAAAATTCTGCTGAGCATCACTGGCTGCTTTCTAACAAGCACCATAAATAAACGATGATGAATCAGAAATGCTTTTTCAGGTTCCTCTACAAATATAGACAGATTTAACAACTTAACACATCATTTATATATTTTATAGCCATTTTCATATGGCAAATTTCTAAATTTTGAGGGATCCAAAAATAAATAAATAAAAGAAATTAGCTCTAATCCCTCATATTTTATTTTTACTATTTTTTATTTTTTTTATTTTTTTACATTTGCTAAAATGTCACCATGTTCTGACAGAATTGCACTGCTTCCAATCAATGACAACCAATCAGAGTCTGGAGGTGGGTCTTAGCGCTGTCAATAAGGCTCATGTATGAGCTGCTCAACGTGCAAACGGCAGAGAAACAACTCAGTTACAAAAACACTGTTTGTTCACCGTTATCAGTGGCTATGCTACTAGCCTCAGCTTTCACGGTAGGCTCTGCTGACGAGGAGAAGATGTAGCAATACTTGAATGTTATTATTGCTAAAACCCTCCTCCTGCCTCTGATTGGTTCTTTCCGAATTTCTGTAGTTAGCTCTCGGAGGAAGCGGAGGAGCTCGATTATATGTCAGACACAACACAGTGACAGTTTTAACAAATATGTAAAAAATAAATAAAAGTTACATACTTTAAAAGGTCTTGAAGAGAGAATAAACAGAAAACTCACCATTTCTTCACCACCACACCTTTGCTTTCTGCCTTGAGGAACAGTCTGTTCACCCGGTCTTCTTCCATATCGAAACGCTTCTTATAGAAAGACTGTGGACCATACCAGAAGACATTCATTCGTGCACAGATTATAGAGAAATTTGAGTGTGCACTCAGATTCTGGAGCATACCTGGTTTTTAAAGCCTTTATCGACACCAAGAGTCTGTGTGCAAAAGCAGTGTCTGACCCCTAGATTACACATGAGGTAGGCCAGGTCAATGGTCCACACGCTCTCGGTCAGCTGCAGCTCCCAGCATGCTCTCTGGAACTCCTCATCACTCACCGGGTGCACGTACCTGTCAGACAAAACCCCGGGTTTCACGGAAAAATGACTGACTTTGTTGGTACTGGCAACTCTGAGGCGGCTTCACTTTTACAGTCAATATTTTTCCAGTAGGACAGCTCCGTTAGGTCTCTGATGTGTTCAGTGACTAATAATAATAATAATAATAATAATAATAAAACTTACTTCAGAACCATCCTGGAGCAGGCTAAGCCACAGTCCCAGTGGTACAGCTGCCGAATAACGGGTACATTCAGCAGGACGGCATCCTCTGAGAAAAGCAACCGTGTTAGTTTCCCTTAAAAAAAAAAAGGCTCCAGAAAACCATAAAAACTGAAGAGCCTATTAAAAAGCTAAAACTTGGTTCATATAAAAGAGTGTTGCTATCAGGTGTGTTTCTCTCACCTGTCATTCTGCTGGCTTCTGACGTTGTTAGGAGGCCAGCTAAGTCGGGGCGAGGTGGGGAGCCTTGTTTACCACTCTGAAGGGGGGTTAGCTTCCCTCATCGATGCTAACAAGTTCCAAGAACTGAGCTGCCCAGCTGTTAGCTTAGCTCCCACTGTAACACCGCTGACATGCTAACTGCTTACAAATTGAAGACACCTACTAGACGAACTTCCAGAAAAACACTCAATTATCAACTACAAAAGCGAAACAACGAGAGGAAAGGACGTTTCTTCTCCCTCTTTCTCCTGCCTCCCTTCCCAGCTGTTTGCTAGCTTACTCTGAACCTTCTTGTGTTGTCCGGTAGTATTATACCGCCCCCGTGCGGTGCGGCGCAGTCTCCCCAAAAGGTAGGTAAATAATATTGAACATTTATTTTTTTGGATTTCATAGAACGAATGTGAACGCAGACAGAAAATAGACAATTAATCTAATTATTACATTTGGGAACTTTAATACTCACAAATGTAAGTTTTCATCATCTTCAACCTTCTTTTTATTTTTTTACAGTTTTGATTAAGAAATTGGAACTATTTATCCACTATGTCAGAGTACAAACACAAAAGCTGCGAACACATATGAACATTGTAGGTCATTGACTATTTTTAATATATCATAATTTATGTAATGTCTGCTTTCTGGTTATTTACTTTATTTTGTTTTTTGTACCAATGTGTTTACTGTAGAATCCCAGAAATTTTGCCCTCTTCTCAGTCACTCTGCTTTAGAAGTGATCAAGATAGATTGAGGTAAAATGTTTGACCTTTTTAATGTTATTTTAATTAATAGAGAATTCTTGATCCTGACCAGTAGAGGCATGCCTTAAAATTTTAACAACTACATATGACAGGAGGAATTACATCAGAACAATGTTACTGATTAATAAACGACTCTGCAGATTGTGAAATCCTTATCTTAATTTTAAAAAAAGAAAAGAAAAAAAAACTTTGGCTGGAGAGTAAAATTGAATCAAATAATAAAACCTTTTCATGTACTCTGTTCAAACACACAAAGATGTAGCTACATCAGAATAAAAAAATAAATAAATGAATATGTACGCACTGCTGAATCTTCTTTGCAGAGAAAATGTATTTGAGTTCTGCTTATTAATACCTGCATGTGAAGTATATTTGGAGCACTCTACAACCGGATTTGAATTCTGAATGCAACACAGTTTTAAATTTTTTTAAAAGATTTTAAAGAATCTTTTGAAAACAACATTTCATCATTTATTTATTCTTGCTTTATTGTTGCAGGGTCAAGAGGAAGCTGGAGCACAAAAAATCACCAGCTTTCCCTTTACACACGTGAACAGTTTTATTTAAGGCTTCTAACAGTCTATTTGTGACATTTTTAGAGCAAGAATGAAATTATGTGAAGAAAATGTATTCTCATGCTGACTTCGGGCTGCTACTGGGTTCCATACGTTGTGCTCATTGATGCCTGGATTCAGAAAAAGAAAGAAAGAAAATAAATCAGATGTTAAAAGTGATTCATACTTTAAGTATTGACACTCATAACCACTATTTAGTGGTTGGAAAACGTCACATGATGAAGCTTAAAATTATTATTATTATTATTATTATTATTATTATTATTATTATTATTATTATTATTATTATTATTATTATTATTATTATTATTATTATTATTATTATTATGTGTACATTTACAATTCTAACTATATGAACAAAAGTAAGAGTAATACACTGAAGATGAAGCTGGCATAATGGAAGCTGGTTCTGTAGCAGCCATTGTAGGAAGAAAAAAAAGAGAAGAAATTTACACCAAAAAAAATTTGAAATTAATCTTGGAACTTTTGTAGAAAAACTGTGGAAATTTCTATTTCAAAAGTCAAAAATTTTGACTTTTGAAACTTGGAAATTTCTATGTTTTTTTTTTCTAAAAGGCAACACTCAGTTACACAACTCGTTTTCAGAGTGATTGCCATGGGAGACTAAAGGATTCTTCAAACATGCATGAAAGAATCAAAGCAACACTCCAGGTTTGTTTTTGATGAGGGAATAACATTATAACATGATGTAAAGCTAAAAGAAAGTTGATTTTACTTGATATTGCCGCTTTAAGACGTTCCACAGATTTTTCAGTATGTGTACATGTTCTTATTTAACAATTTTAAGAGCAATATATTAAATACTCCAGCTAACTGGCATAGTCACATTATGTTTCTGTCACTGCTTTTTTCATGGTTAGAGGCTGAAACGTTTGGGAAGCGCATGCTAAAATGCAAAGTATGAGAGGACATGTCTCACCGATTCGACCTCAGATTCCTCAACCAGATAGGTTGATTTCTGTCTGCTGTAAAGATCTCTCTTCTTCATGCAGGTCAACATGAACCAGTCTGCTACCATGGGAACCTAATGGGGACATAAAGATGCTCACATTCTGCTTGTCATCCATTTTTGGGAGCAGCAACACACATCTTCACTCACCAAACTCAGAAAGGACAAAGCTGCGCCCAGGTTCACTATGGTTGGTACAATTCCAAATTTTCCCGCCTGCAGCAACACAAATTCATCCAAATCAGTGGAAAGTGAACAGAAGCAAAGTTACTCAAGAGTCCTTCTAATCTCACAATCTACTGAGCCTCACAGTTCCAAACACAATGACGTCAAAACGGATCCCGTACGCTTTGATCAGCGTTCTTACTTCCTCTCCCTCTGCCGTCCTGTAGTACTTTGCAAACCTAAAGAAATGGTTTGAAAAGAATTGCTTACCCAACGTTTGTTCTTTTCAGGGGAAAAAAAAAAAGGTGTCTATGGAAACCAGACTCACCTGAAGTTGTACCCCGGGGCCACATTGTTGACCGGATGTTTGTTGTCCAGCCTGTGGAAGGTGTACTTGGGATAACACTTCCTTGCCCACCAGTCCAGGTCGCAGCTCCAGTCAATAAGAATACCCAGGACACCGCCCTTTAAAACATGTAGCACAGCAAAAGCACTTCTACCACTTTACTGTTGTTCCTTTAGGGGCATTTTTTCTGACAGCATGGTGGAAAAAAAATGAAATGTATATAAAAAACACAGAGACAATCACTTCGTCTTTTGCTGCAGTGACAGCAGCAGAGTTTTAGCAGATGCATTAACCAGCACAGCACATCTGGAGGCCGACGCTGGATGGAGAGAATCAATGAACAAGTCTGTTTTTTTCTTTGTGTTGCCACATGTTATGAAGTGGACTCATGTCCAGACTTTGACTGGGACATTCTAACACTAATTTGATTTAAATAACTGTGTTGCAGGTCTGGCTGCATGTTTAGGGTTGTGGTCCAACCCTAAACATGGTCCACCCAAAGTGTCAAGGTCGTCTTTCAGACTTTTGTCTGTTTTCCTTTCTTTTCATACTTATGCACTTATTTGTTTTGGTCTATTATGAAAAACAGCATTGAAATCCATAGAATTTTGAGTTTGTGGCATGATTAAAAAAAAGTGAAAAAGTCAGAGGGAATGAATACTTTTGAATCCACTGTCAGTGGTAATTATTCTTAGTACCTTCACAGCCATGTCCTGGAAGTCCTCTCCGGCCTCAGAGACGATGTGCTTCAGGCGGAAGATGGGGCAGTCGGGGTCTGTTTTGCGGTTGAACTCGCACCTCTTCAGATACGTGGAGTTAATGTGAGACAGTATGTTTCTTCTGGAGGAGGGAAGACAAGCGTTTTTGCTAAAATCGGACTCAATAAAACCGCTTCCTGCAGGAGTTGTTTCCCTTCTACATTCAGATGTAGCATGCTCACTTGTGAAAGTTGAACTTTGGGTAGGTGATGCTGTTTTTGATCAGCACGGTGAAGTTTTCAGCCTCCGCCAGAAGTGCTCGCCTGTTAGGCAGGGAAAACGGCACGGTTAGCCTCGTCTTAAAAACCTGAAACCATCCTATAAATCCTGCAGTATTACGTCGGCTCTCACTTGGGCAGGTTGGTGTCTGTTTCCAGGGGACACCAGGAGAGAACCTCACAGGTCTTGACAATGGAGGAATAGTTTTCACACAGTCCTGTCCGTATACCTGAGGCAGAAGGATCGTCATGGTGCATGATGTGATGCTTTTTAAAGCTGGTGTATGAGGATGTATTTGGGACTGAGGCGTACCATTCCCCCGAGGATCATTGTATCCCTCCACACAGTCACAGTCGTCCACACAGGTAGTGGAAGGGTTTGGAAGCTGGAAAGGAAATTTGCAGGGATAATGCTAAAGTTTTTTACTTTATTAGAGTTCATTTATGGTTTTCCATGCCTGCCTCCTCTAAGGGGGCATGAGAAGACAGATCTCTAGGCTGACGTTGATTCAACAACCGGAGTTAGTTTTGCACTGCAACACAATATAACATGACCTTTTCCCTACAGTTTTCTTGAGTTAATTTTCTGTTTTCTTGAGATAAGGAGCTCATTTCCCAACGATTTTCTCAAAATAACGAGTTCATTTCCTGTTTTCTTGAGAAGGCGAGTTCATTTTCTGATGGTTTTCGCCAGATAGCAAGTTAATTTCCTGTTTTCTCGAGATAACGAGAGAAAACATTATCTAGAAAACATTATCTAGTTAAGTTAATCTTCAGTTTCCAGCTAACTTCATTTCCCAATGGTTTTATTGAGACGAGGAGTTAATCTAAAAAGAACAGGAAAATATACTCGTTATCTCAAGAAACGCTTAGGGAAAGAGTATATATGTGAGTACGATGGCTCTCACCTTAAGTATCTGTAAACTCATACATGTGCTGAAAGCAGTTTTCAATAGGACTCACACCAAACACCAGATTATTGAGATGGTGGGAAAATTTGACAGGGTAACACAGATCGGCAGAACATTAATACCTGGGACTTCCATGACCTGATATTCTGAGTCTTGATGACCAAAAAAGGCCAACCAGTTCAAATAGAAATGAATTACATGGAAATCATGTAAAAGTTTGAAGAACACTGTACCCATGATTATAGAGATGAAAGTACCTGCAGTGCAATGAGGGAGAAAAACCCAGTATCCTTTATCACATTACTGGTAATGACACAGTTAGAACATGCTCTGCTCTTTAATACATTTAAACATCTAGTCCTACCTCAGCACAGCGTGACTGGGTCTGCCCGGGGGTCATGACCACGTTCGTCAACACGAAGAATGAACCATCTCCCTGTTGGACAGAGGTCCCAGACTCTAATCACAGTCATTTTGTAGCAAAACTTCAGGCAAAGCCCAGAACATTCCAGATACCTGTGGGGGGATGTTGTAATCCACCACATCCCAAAAACGAGGCTCCATGTCGGAGATGTTGGTAAAGGCAAAGCCCTTCACTTTAGTC